CAGAGTGGTGATTTAGTCTGTGGTTTAGATATGTTTTTGTTGGTTGAGTTTTCTGTTCCCTAATTGTAGTGCTGATGGCCAAAAGCCTTCTGGAAATTATAGTCAATTCACTCCTAACAGTAGTTTGTTTAGGAGGAAAGGGGTTATTACTGGTTTGGGCTTATTTCCTACCACTACTTTTCCCCCACCCCACCCAATCCTTATGCCCAGCAAGTAGGCAATGCTCATTGTGGACAGAGACACTGAGCTGAATCTAGCAGTATTCCAAACCCACGTCCCCAGGAAGTAGCCCTCAAGTACTCCTGGGAATTTTGCCAGCTGCAGGGTCTCAGCTCGTCTTTCTCAGGCCCAGCAAGTTCAAGAAGCCCGAAGCACCATAGCAGACCAAGGATGTTGGAGTTTATCCCAAAGAGCTCTGAATCTTGGCCCTGAGAACACACTCTCTAGCTTGCCAGTGGCCGCCATGAGTAGTGGACACATGTACTCTATCTTTTGTGCTGTATCACTTCCTCTTGCAGGTATTTAATACCATTATCCAGGGCTGAAGGTGTGTCTGTCATATGGGGGAGATACCACTGTCAGTACTAAGGGGTCTTGCAAAGGTTTACATGGAGACCAGTATATCAAAAACTTCCACACTGCCAAGGGAGGGTTAGTACCACAGCACTCACTCAGTTCTTCTAGAAAAAGTGGAAACCCCACACAACACAGCCTTCACTGCTAAATTAGTGACACAATGAGATTGGTTACTACTTCCATTGGTCTCATTTCTGCAGCCATCTAAATTGTCTTTTGAGGGACATCTTGGTCCATTATAAATGGGAAATTGGCCAGATGAAATTTCACCGATTTTATAACACCATTTCATTAAAAACTGATGTCTCAATTATTTAGTCAATTACAGATTTGAACCAAACATTGAGAGAGTCCCCATATATTTTCTTAAATTCTTTGAAACAGACTTGTGTCCTTGCTTATGCAATAAGCCTGTGTTAATTTGAATTCTCCAGGTGATTTTCTCATCAACTGGTCAACCTCCTCACCACCTTGTACCCTCACATCTTGTAACACTCGGTATTATATTTCACAGAGAGGGAAGAGATACTAAGAAAAACTAAAGAAAAGTTATTTTCCTTGCAAAGTCCCTCCCTACTTGTTCATTTTTTTGTCTTGAAATGGTCTTTCCCACCCCCATCCCCGCCTCAGAGCTTCTGTGGGCAGCGCACGTACTGTCCTCACCAGGGAAGAGTGACAATGAATGGGTGACACTCTGCTGGTAGTGGCTGGGGCAGAACCTTGTTCTGCTGCTCACTCCCCATCTCAGCCTCTCCAGCATCTCTCTAGATGGGGAGATTTTGAGATAATAATAGATTTACATGCAGTTGTAAAAAATAATGTAGAGAAAGTCCTTGTCCACTCCTCTGCTTTCCCCATCCCAGCCCCCAGCACTGGTCCTTGATTCCTGGAAACCACTATTCTGCTTTCCAGCTCTATAATTTTATCATTTCAAGAATGTTCTATAAATGGAATTATATGGAATACAACTTCGGGGCACTATTTTCTGTCAGCATGCTTTCCTACAGATTCACCCAAGTTGTGCGATGTATCCCTTCCTTGCTGTGGTCTATTTTACTGCACAGATGTTCCAGTTTGTTTAACAAGTAACATACTAAACAACTTCAGTTGTTTCTACTTTGGGACTATTATGAATAAAAGTATTATGCACATTCATGTATAGGTTTTTACGCAAACGTATTTTCATTTCTCTGGAATAAATTCCCAAGGGTGAAATTGCTGGGTTATATCAAGTTTAATTTTATAAAAAACTGTCCAACTATTTTCCAAAGTGGTTATACAATTTTACCATGCCATCAGTAATGTATTCAGTTCCTAACCCATCTTTGTTAGCTTTTGGTGCAGTCCTTAATATTTATCTTGGCAATTCTAACAGGTGTGTAGCAAACTATCACTGTGTTTTAATTTGCACTACCCTAATAGTTAATTATGTTGAATATTTTTTCATGTGATTATTTGTGACCTATAAGTCTTTGGTGAAATGTCTTTTCATGTCTTTTATCAATTTTTTTACTGGGTTATTTGGGGAGTGTTTTTTCACTGTTGAGCTTTGGGAGCTCTTTATAATTGTAGATACTAGTCCTTTGTCTGATGTATTTGAAAATGGTTTTTCTTCATCTGGATTGTATTTTCATCCTCCATGCATGGAGTTTCTCAGAGCTCAAATTTTTACTCGTTATTAAGTTTTCCTTTTATAGGATCATGTCAATTTTTTGCCTAGACTTAAATCCCAAAGGTCTTATGTTTTTTTTAACATTTTTTCTAGTGTAACATTTTAAATATATAACATTTTGAGTTAATTTTTATAAGGTGAGAAGCTTAGGTTAGGGTTCAGTCTTCTTGCCTATAGATGCCCTCCAGTACCATTTGTTGAAAAGACTCTGTATGAATTCACATCTGTCAAAAAGCAGTGGAACATACTTACATGGATTTATTTTATTTCATTAATGTACATGCCTCTCCCTGAATATTATCATGTCATCTTGATCACTGTTGCTGCTTAGTAAGACCCAATATGTGATAAGTAATTCTCTCAATCTTATTCTTTGTCAAGATTTTTTTTCATATCTTTTTCATATCTTTTCACACAAATATTGTCATAAAATTATCTTTGTCTACAAAAATTCTTAAGATTTTCATCAAAATTGCCTTAAATCTATCAATCAATTTGAGAAGAACTGATATCTTTATTATGATGAGTCTTCTAGCCCAAAGTATTGTATATCATTTTATTTATATTGATCTATTTTGATTTCTCTCATTGGTATTGGTATTTTCAGCACAGTGATCCTACATGTAAGTATTTTATTTCTTTGGAGTGACTTTAAAATGAATTCTGTTCTAAATCTTGGTTTCTGGGTGTTCATTATTTGTGTACAAAAATGCAATTGATTTTTGTCTATTAATCTCTTACCCTTCCAAACTTGCTGTGCTCATGTATTAATTCTAAAAGCTTTTTGGTAAGTTAACTTGGGATTGTCAAAGAAGACAATCATGTCATCTGAATATAGCGCAGCTTAATGTCTTCCTTTCCTGTCTATTTGCCATTGTCTATTTTCCTCACATTCTTACAGTAGCTAAATTTCTAACACCATGTTGAATGACAGTGCAGAGGGCAGTCATCTTGCCTTGTTCCTGATCTTAAAAGAAAAGCAGTCTTTATCAACATTAAATATAATGTTACCTGTAGACTTTTTGTAGCCAATCTTTATCACATTGAGAAAAATTTTTTTTAGTTCTGGTTTGCTGAGAGTTTGTTTTTTGTTTATTTTGTTTTTTGGCTTTTTATCATGAGTGAGAATTGGATTTTGTCAAATTTATTTTTGTATCAACTGATATAGTAATTTTCTCCTTTACATTGGATTATAGTGATTGTTTATTTCTTTGTTTTTTGAAACAGGGTCTCACTATGTAGTTCAGGTTACCTTTCTTTTTTTTTTTTTTTT